TATGGCACGACTTCTTCTTCAGTTTCGTCCATTCTGCTCTCCATTCTGCTCGTAAACGTTCTGGAGTATATGCCTGATGTCAGCTTTAGCTGCTTTTGAAGCAGCAAAGGATTTTTTTAATATAGGATCACAAACAAAATCGCAGCTGAAAAAGAATGCCACTAAATGTGCCTCAAATTGCTAATTGAAGTTCTTTCTTCCATATCTTGAAACGCCTCTCAAAAAATTTAGGGAGCTTTCTCTGCAAATTTTAATTAGCTGTAAATGATAAACAAGCTTGATCACTAACGAAAAATGAGGCTCTAACGCTATAGGAAACTGTATATTCATGATGCAATATCGCTTAAATCAAATCCAGCTCATTTTCAAAATGATGCATCAGCAAATCTGCTGATAAAATGTGATTCAGTTTAAATCCATCGTTGATCACCACTTTCGGTCAGTCTACAAATCTCTATAACAGTTCCCCTTATGGCCAAGATAGATACAGTAGAATGGTTTGCTCAAGTCATGTGTACAATGATTTTGCGGGGTCGCCGGATTTCCAAGTGATCTCGGCTCAGTGGCAGCACCGTACCTTAGAAGAGGGTATGCCATTTCTTTGCAATCTTGTTCAAAACTGCAACTCTTCTAATTTATCAGGAAGCTTCCACAACAGCGCCTGCCCTGGCAATAGTAATAGTGTTGCTAATGTGGTCTGTTACTGTTCTTATTGTGCCGAAAACAAGAGATAAGGAGTTGTTTGAGGATCTTGACGACTTTGCCAAGACCACTATTGCGTTGGATGAAGAAAAAGAAGGATGAACAAGTGGAAAAGATACAAATGAAATTCGTAGTTTTCATAAACATTATTGTTAATATTAAGAACTCGCCGATGTTGTAGACGCCGCCCAAAACGGCGTCTTCTGGAGGAAGAGCCGAGTTCGAAGCTTTATGCTGGGTCTATTTTAACGTTGAAAATATTGAGATCTAAATTTACTTATTTAGTACTTAGGTGGCCTGTCTTTACTCGTCGTGCAGGCCTCAGCATTCTTTCCTTTTCTTTATCTCGCTAGCGTCATCCAAGATGTCGGAATTGAAATGAGGCGGCGATGTTCGCAGAGGTCCAGTTCCATTATTCGTTACCACCTAAAGATTCAGCTGGTCCATCCGTGCAACTCCCTCGAGGACGTTTGCTTCGCGAGGGATCCATTCCAGAGTTTTTAGCGTTCATGTGTCGTTTGTTCTTCTCATTATATGACCAGCCCATCGATGCTTTGCCTTAAAGACGTATTCCGCTGGATCGCGAAGACGAG